AAAAAAAAAAAAAGAAAAAAGAAATCTATTTTATCTGATGGAAGCATAACTATTCCTGTTCTTTTTTGGTTTCCATTCGCATGGAATGTGTTTCCCATGCCTTTATTTTCCATCTATGTGTGTCTTTACAGGTGATGTGTGTTTCTTGTAGACAGTATATAGGTGGTTCTTGTTTTTTTAACCCATTCAGCCACTCTGTGTCTTTTGATTGGAGAGTTTAGATCATTAACTTCCAGTTATCATTACTGATAGGTAAGGATTTATAACTACTATTTTATTATTTGATTTCTGGTTGTTTTATAGTTATCTCTTTCTTATGTCCTTCCTGTGTTCCTTTGTAAAAAGTGATTTTCTCTGGTAGTGTGTTTTAATTTCTTGCTTTTTATTTTTTGTGTATCTTTTGTAGGTTTTTTAATTGGTAGTTGTCATAGATAGTAGTTCCTCTGATGGACCTGGGAAAGTAAATTTAAAAAATCTTCTAGAAAGTATTTATCATTCTAGATGCCATTAAGAACATTTATTATTCATGGGAAGAGGTCAAAACTTACCTGGAATTTGGGAGAAATTGATTCCAGATTTCCTGGATGACTTCAGTAGAGGAAGCAATTGCAGATGTGTTGGAAATAGCAGGAGAGCTAGAATTAGAGGTGGAGACGGAAGATGTGACTGAATTGCTGGGATCTCATGATCAAACTTGAATGCATAATGAGTTGCTTCTTGCAGTTGAGCAAAGAAAGAGGTTTTTGAGATGGCATCTTGTGGGTGCATGTGGGAGTACTTAAGGGAAGAGTTGTAGCTTGATGTGTGTGCATTGCCAGTAATAATGATTTAATAAGCTTAAATCCAATATTCAAGTATTAGTTACAGGTAGATTAGAGATTGAATTAAGAAAGTGATTGCAGAGTATGGGCAAAGGAAAACAGAAACAGGAGAGAAGTGGATGCAAGAAATCCTGAACTCAGTGCAAAACACGCTGCAGGAGCCCTGGCACCTTTAAAACTTAAGAAATGTCTTGCTGAAATTTCACCCCGTCCCTACCACAGCTCTCTGGAGGTCTCTAAGCAGGTGAGATTCACCTGGAACAGTGGGGCTACTCGCTCTGAGAGAGGGAGTGCTTTTGTGGACTTAGGATATGCAGAATGTTTAGATTTTGTTAAAGACAGCGAGATTTGCTCCAGACCAGATAAGGAGATAAAATATCTCTTTTCTTCTGTCACCTTGGTATGACCAGAGGCGTCTGTCTATCTGAGCAAAAAGCTTCTTGAGTATTAATTGTCACTCCTGTGATTTGTGTGTATGGCCTAATTGGGATCTTCTCTGACGTCCTGCTCTTAGACTGTTTCCATGGTTCCATGTTCTGTTTGTGTTAAAGATCATAAATAGGTGTCCTCAAACTATGGCCTGCAGGCCACGTATGGCCTGCCTAGGACATTTATCTGGCCCACTGGGTGTTTTTGCTGCAGCTGCCCATCCTGCTTAGCAGCTGACTCCTCCTGGGGCCCGCAGTCCGGCCCTCCAACGGTCTGAGGGACAGTGAACTGGCCTCCTGTTTAAAAAGTTTGAGGACCCCTGCCTTAGAGCAATAAAAGTGAATCCATACAATTAACATAGTTAAAGAAATAGTGGGGCGACACCTGTGGCTCAGCTGGTAGGGTGCTGGCCCCATATACCAAGTGTGGTGGGTTCAAACCCAGCCCCGGTCAAAACTGCAACATCAAAAAAAAAATAGCCGGGCATTGTGGTGGGCACCAGTAGTCCCAGCTGCTTGGGAGGCTGAGGCAAGAGAATCGCCTAAGCCCAGGAGTTGGAGGTTGCTGT